TAGACTTCCCTGGGATACCCACTCACTGTGGTCTCCTGATCTCTATCAGATCTGACAACATGCCTGGAGAAGGGGGAACCTAGACTTCCCTGGGATACCCACTCACTGTGGTCTCCTGATCTCCATCAGATCTGACAACATGCCTGGAGAAGGGGGACCTAGACTGCCCTGGGATACCCACTCACTGTGGTCTCCTGATCTCTATCAGATCTGACAACATGCCTGGAGAAGGGGGGACCTAGACTGCCCTAGGGTTCGCATAGGGTGTGTTTGAACGTTGAAACTGATTAACCAGGAGTCAATACATAAAACTTAATGAATGTGGTCAGTGTATGGATTAGTTATGAAGTGGAACCACACCTCACTGCAGGTCTAAATGGCAGCACACCCATGAATCTCATCTATCTGTTCTTCCAACTCAATCAGCATATCACAGCAATTGTACTTGGAACCATTGTAACCTAGAATATCTAAGAGAATATTCCTGTGAGGCTGAGACATATATCACATTTTTCTTCAAAGTATAAACTACATACGTCTTGAGATGACACCCACATGGCAAAAACAACACTTACATCTAATGTCTACACACTAAAGCTAGGATCAATAGCATGTCCTCATTATACAAACAATCCCTCAGCCCTACTGGTTATTTAGGTTCTAAATACTTGCAAATAAGGAAATATACACCATTTCATTATTTACTCATTGGATTGGCAGTAACACAACATTCCCGTATTCGACGTAATAAGCGCCCCGCTCTAATAAGCGCCCACGGCGATATTTGCTAATATATTCGCTAGTGAACAATCCCAATCAGCACCCCTTCCGATTGATCAATGTACGCAAGACTTATTTATTCGCGCATATTACGCACTCGTGTGTTATATCACCCTTAATTATGGGCAATTAAATTCTTGAAAAATATATCTGTCGTATGTAAACATTTCAGGATGTTTGCATAAACCACGAAATTTACGATCTTTCAACTCAAAATAATATTCTAATAAGCGCCCCCTATTTCTAATTTTGAGAGCGCCCTGGGCGCTTATTACGTCGAATACGGTAATTCAAACTGTCGACGGACTCTCTCAGTCACCAAGCAACAGGTTTATTTGTAAATAGGGGAATCATTTGCAGCTTACACATACTGAACATATAACAAGAAATACGCAAGTCCAAATCTAGACCAATTGATCTGTCCAGGAAGTATGTAAATACTATCTTATCTACGTGATCGCATTGTGATCAGACAGTACAGGAGCTCTTGAAGAATTAATGTCTGAGATGCATCAAGATCTTTATTTCCAAATCTATAGTTTTTTGTCTCTGGAATACTGTCAACAAACAGGTCATAATGTCCCACATTGTTCCACAGTTGCATGAAACCGTTTTCTAGAAGCCTCGACAATAATGGGAGCCATTACACTATTCCTTGGTCTTGTACCTGATGTCTAATGTTTAATCATCAAGCTGAGCCATTGATTTTTTATATAGTTTTTACTGAATAGTAAACAATTCTTGGAAATCAAACAGAATTACATTACTAATTATAGTTCAAACATTTTCAAAAATCGATCATTATCTGTTTCATCTGTCAAATATTCTTCAATATTCCTAAATCAAAATGCCATGATTACAAGGGTCAGTTGACTTGACAATGATTGTCTGGGTCACATATCCCATGACGAAGTAAGGGTTCTTTCTACACGTCCCTCTGACCTGTGAAGATTCCGGGGTAGAATAGGTCTTCAGCAACCCACGCTTGCCGTAAAAGGTGACTATGCTTGTCGTAAAAGGTGACTCACGGGATCGGGTGTTCAGGCTCGTTGACTTGGTTGCTGCAGGTCATCGATCCCAATTGCGTGGATCGATGCTCATGATATTAATCACTGGATTGTCTGGTCCAGACTCGGTTATTTACAGACCGCCGTCATATAGCTGGAATATTGCTGAGTGCGGCGTTAAACAACAAACCAACCAACCAACACGTCCCTCTACTGGGGAGTCTTGGGCCACTGAATACTGAGCAATCTTGGCTCTACTTCATGGACACAAATGTCACACTAACACTTACTGGAGGTGATGCTGAATTGGGGCAATACAGTTTCTCTGGGCCTTGTGTGCAATGATAATGCCTTAAGCATTAACTGAACAAGCCATTGACCTTCCATATTCATTATTGAAACCATCACTATACAAGTGTGGGGAACACTGTCAGTGATCACAAGTTGCAATCAGTTTCATGTATCGAGTCATCAATCGTTTCTACTGGTAAATACACTGTCTGTTTGCAAGAAATTAACAGCCCAAGGTGCTCATTTTCCTCATGAAGTTGTCACTTTATCATCTATCCTGACAATTGATAATGGACATTGTGATCAATAATTGCATCCTTTTAGGGTAGCCAATCAATTTCACATCATAATCGATCATGTGAACATCCCTGATTGACATCATGAAATAGGAATTACCCTACGTTAGAATCAATTCATGAGCCTTCCTGCAGTTATGTTAAACAGATAATTTTGAAGAATGGCAAGCATTACTCCATGTGAGGTGAAATGGGGTTCAACATTGCGTACAAGATTATTGCAATTATATGGTGACATGCATATGCATGGATGAGAATGGATATTTTCCTTTTCATCTGAAACGCCTTTGTAATGGAGCATGGTCCATAACTTAAGGTGTTTATGAGGGAAGAGATTAGATTTCAACAAATTTGTGGTCGCTAAAATTCATGGATCTGCAGGGAATTCTCACCCCTGCATTTGTCTGCCTGTGTGTTGCTGCTTGTGCTGGTCTGGACTAGTGGTTCTATAGTGTTAGCCCACTGAGATTCCATGCACCAGTTTAACATGGATACCCCACTCACAGGCTTAGAAACTAACAGTTTTTGGCCACTAGTCCTTATAATGATAACATATAGCAAAACCCTTAAAACGAGCCAATTTCTACTAGTTCTTAGGGTACCTTTACTATTGGGCATTTGGTAAGGACTACAGGACTAGTGCCAATTTCTAACATGCACTCAGCATACTGAATCTGAGCTGACCATTCCTTGTTTTATCCCCTTAAGGTGAGCGCCAGGCAGGATAACAATAAGTACCATCTTGTAACACCTTTTGATATGACACAGCCGACCATTCCTCTCCAGTACTCCATGTGAGACAAAGATAAAACCATGTCACTGGGAGCGGCTGTGTCCTGCCATGTAACTTTGTTAATTATAAGCCTATGTTCATAATGAGACCCTAATTGGTGTCTTTGTGCTAGACAATCCGGAGTGCCTTTTGTCTATGGCAGAGCGATCATGGCCACAGATGTAGTGCTTGCAATGTTGATAATTGAACCATCAGTAACCATCGCAGCTTAATGATTTTCTTCTGTAACACATCAGAATAGCAGAATCCCCACAAGGTTTCTAATCAACTGTTGGAACAGAAAATACATTTTTATTCCCCCAAAGACTTAATTGCTACAACAAACGTCTACATTATCTGACTCCACACAGTAGCATCTGTGCCTAACATGAATAGACACACAATCAATACAGTAAATTGAGTTGGTTCAGGCATCCAATACCTCAATCAGTCGTGCTAGTTCCTAAGTGATGATGAAGCTTCCGATTTCTAAATACTGAAAGAGTTTTCATATTATCTGTCCCATGCTTATTACTCAGCTGTCAAATGGGGGGACAATATTGAGTTATAATGTCCTGTTCAATTATCCATTTTAGATGATGCTTCAACAACAGCTCAAGCCGTGACTCTTGATCTTAACATTGTCTGCCGTCTCGTCTAGGTCTGTTTACTCTAGGGTTTGTAAACTTAGCTAAGATTTCAATGAGTGAGTATAGTTATAAGGCGCTTTGACGAATATACCAGCAATATCAGGGTGGAGGACACCAGAAGTGGGCTCCACACTAGGCAATATACCAGCAATATCAGGACAGAGGACACCAGAAGTAGGCTCCACACTAGGCAATATACCAGCAATATCAGGACAGAGGACACCAGAAGTAGGCTACACACTAGGCAATATACCAGCAATATCAGGACAGAGGACACCAGAAGTAGGCTACACACTAGGCAATATACCAGCAATATCTGCCTGTACTAGTCTGAACTAATGTTGGTTTAATAGTGCTAGCCCAATGAGATGCCACAGTTAACACAGATACCTCGCTCAACCACAGTATACTGACTTCTAATCAACTAGTCCATTGTTAATGCTGAATGTCATCTCTTAAAGTCTTTTAGTTTGATGCAGCCAGGAATCGAACCACCGACCTTCCACACTCCGGGCAGATGCTCTATCCATTGGACCCCAAAGCATTCTTGGAATTTAGCCACTAATCCGAAGCCTCAGTTTAGCAAAATTCTGTTTGGTCTAGTAAGTTCAGCTAATAACAGTCCACATTCATAATACTAAATGATTTAACTGCTGACCCGTTGACCCGTGGCCAGTAAAAATTACATAAGGCTCAGTAGATGGCCCGTGTGGCTAGTCACCCTTTCTCTGTGTATGTTTAACTTTTTTAAGTTGGAAAATCATGCTTGTAAATCACGTAATTTCAATGAAATATTTAGGTGGGATGAGGTCATGTGAATGATTGACTCAAAGATCACCTCGTTAGAATGACACAAACGGCAGCCATTTTGTAATGCTCTGTACAACAACATCTTTATTTGCTCATAAAACCACCACAAACGGAAGCCAAGATTTAATCTCTGCGTGCAGGAAATGACATTTTAGGGGTGAGGAGCTCTAAAACTTTTGGAGACATGATAACTCAGTATTGGCCTCCAACGTTTAGTTTTGGGCCAGTTAGTTTGGAGAAGGGCCACTTACTTTTGAAAGCAGCAAGACCAGCTGGCTACATATGAATTTGTTGTAAATTCTACCCTGTGTGAAAGATGCTGAGCTCCAAGTTCAGTTAGGATTCTCAAAAAGTGTTTGGCAGATTGCAAATTATGAGAAAGTAATGTATTCACCCCAGGGTGATCTCTGTCCATGATCTCTATGGGGTGTCTGAGGCTGGGCTTGCCTAGGTACCAGTCCTGGGTATGGTTGTAGCCCTGCAGCAGCTTCAGCAGTTGTGGAATGTTTACATAGGTATCATCATCGACATGGCAGAACCATCTGAAACAAAAGAAACCCACTGGAATTAAGTCTTTTTGTAATTTGACATTCTCACATAAAGATGATCTCTAAATTTCAAATACAACACATAGACATGAATGTTTACATGGCACATGCACTGTATGCATGGTACGGACAATTCTGTTTTCATAGATTTTTTTAGTTCTGAAGAAGGGAAAAAGCAACTGAAAGCCAGACTTCGTATGCAAACATAGAGATTGATTATGGATAAAGGACACTGGCTACAAGAATGCTATATTTTATAGGAACGGGAGCGTGTTGGGTTTTATACCACATTTAGCTATGTTACAGACAAACTACAGAAGCACAAGAATAGGTTTCCGAAAGTGTAGCCATCTAAATAACTGAATTTGTCCTTGATCTGACTGGGAGCTGTCTCATCACCCATGGATAAATAGATTATTTGTATTCTTTGCCCTGTTCAAGCTCCCTCAACTTCTAGATTTGAAAAATGGGACTTTTGTTGTGATCCATAATGTCCTAATCTACAATCTATAACAATTCTAAAACAGCACCCTTATCTTTCTGATTTGATTGGTGCTGCAATTTGTCAGTCTTAATTTATTTTTTGTAAAAAAAATTCAGCAAAGAAATGTGTTTTACCACATCTGGTTCTTTGTCTGCCTAACACTACCAACACTCGCACACTTTCAGCTGGAGATCCCAGCCCTCGACTAAACTCACCACAATAGCAACTTTAACATCAATACGAAGAATTTTTTTTAATGATTTCCCAAACAGCTACAATGTCAAGAATCACATGATCACATCTATTCATGGGACTAGAGCATGTGATAGAGCATGTCAAACACAGGCGTTCATGAAATAGTCAACCCAAACTAAACAAAGGCTGTCTCCTGTCCAAATCCACATCAAACAAATTGTTACAAAAATACTTGTTATTCAGCACGAAGTAATAATTATACACTTCCAGTGTTGCAATTTTTCCAACACCAAGGAAGGTGTTTTTTAGTAAGTAGGTGGAAGGTAAACATGATTATCTGGCCATCACCATGGTGACAAATGGCTCGTGATGCTGGTCTGGGAGGGGCAGGTGGGATCCTAATGGAGCTGCTCCCCCCATGGGACATCAGTTCATGACTTTAAGTACTGGTCTGGAGACAGCAACAGAAGTCTCTTAAAGCCACTGTTCAGGGCGTAGCAATTGGCTCTGTCTATAGACACCATTCTGTTCCCTTGCTCATACTGAACTCTTCACGAGATACAAATGAGCGAAGTATTTCATACAAAAACTTTGTGTGTGTAAATATTACCAGATTCTCTGGGTACATGGCTAACAGTTCTGGTAGGTAAATGGCACCAGTCTGCTTGCCCCCGTTAATTTGTTTAGTGCAGAATCTCAAGCGAGTAGAATTTTAAACTTTTCAGGGGTGAGGTGTGTGGTGTGGTGTGGTGTGGTGTGGTGTGGTGTGGTGTGGTGTGGTGTGGTGTGTGGTATGTGGTATGGCGTGGTGTGTGGCGTGGTGTGTGGCATGTGGCGTGATGTGGTGTGGTGTGGTGTGGTGTGATGTGTAGTGTGATTTGGGTGTGGTGTGGTGTGGTGTGGTGTGGTGTGGTGTGGTGTGGGTGTGGTGTGGTGTGTGGCGTGATGTGGTGTGGTGTGGTGTGTGGCGTGTGGTGTGGTGTGTGGTGTGGTGTGGTGTGGTGTGGTGTGGTGTGGTGTGGTGTGGTGTGGTGTGGTGTGGTGTGTGGCGTGTGGTGTGGTGTGTGGCGTGATGTGGTGTGGTGTGATGTGATGTGGTGTGGTGTGTAGTGTGGTTTGGGTGTGGTGTGGTGTGGTGTGGTGTGGTGTGGTGTGGTGTGGGTGTGGTGTCTCTTAGGGCTGGTACAATTCACTCGCGTATTCAGTGAATCGAACCGTATCCATTCATGAATTAAATTCGTTATTTGTGGCCACTAGAATCGAATATTTATGAATATGCAGTCATGTGCAATTACATACCTTGTACCTAAAAATATCCATGAGAACATATTATATGCATAGATGTCTTCAAAAGACAACACTCTCATAATATTTAATTTGACAGTATTGTTGTCACTGGTCATTGTCGCATTTGTGCAGATACTAGTTCCTGGATAAGTGCAGTATATAAATGTATAATATATTAATGTCAAATAATTTATGTTGTTATTGTTTCACTGATTACAACAAATAATACATCAACTGCTGACTTGTTATTGTATTCGTGAATTGCTATTCGTATCCGTTGCCCTATATTCGTCTCACAGTGTATTCGTTGCAGCCCTAGTATCTCTGCTTGTACAAGTCCAAACTAATGCCAATTTTATAAGATCTGAACAAAAGTTTCATGAATCATTGTTCTAGAAACTTAATGTAAAGTCTTTCAAAGACTTAAGCACTGGTATGTAAAGGACAATCCATCAAAATCAACTTTACTTCATCCTCGAGTTGAACTACTCTTTGTATCACATAAATGTAGCACGATACAAGTTCTTATAGTTTCCAAGAAGAAATCAGTAGCCTGCCGGGAAAGATGACGACAATAATATTATCACAGGGCTATTCCCATCTGTGACATGAATAATATGTATATTATACCTCAATCCAACTTATCATACACAATTCAAACTGACACCTACTCCATCTTTCCATGGCATCCTAACCCAATATTGGTGCAATCCATCAAGACCAGCAGCGTCAATGGTAAGCATATCTCAGACACGACAAGCAATCCTGAATACTGGTATTATCTGCCATCTTGTTGCAGATTAGCGAAGCACAGCTACTAAAGTGTCTTTGACATTCATCAAGTGTAGATGCTGATGCTGCTATAGCAGCTGACAGTCTCAGCCAGGCCAGTTGTTGATGATGCAGGGAAAGTCTTGACATGGTAACCGCAGAGTTGCTGGCCGTAGGGGTGAACACTTAACCAGACAGGATACCAGTATCACATCACAAAGTCATTTATTGATACAAAACAACACATGTAAATGTAAGGTTACGTGTAAATTGGTATGGAAAGTAATCCTTATTGTCAAATAGTATTTTGTGCTAGGTATTAGCCACTGCTTATTGTAAAAAAATGTATAATATCTCAACAATGTGCATTGCTATAACCCCAGTTAATAATATTAAAAGTATATCCCTAGACTAACATCTAGTCTCTGAAATGAACATATCGTATAGAAAAAAAAGAAGTTTTTATCTTAATAACAATTTAATAAAAAAAGAACCCAGAGACTCTCTTCCTGATACTGCAGTAATCTAGACTTGCCAAACATTATAGACTTGCATGGGCTGTATTTGATATATTTGTATCAGGGTCTGTAAGACAGACTAGTATATCCCTTGAACCAGTAACATACTTGAACCAGAGTAACTGCAATAGAATATGACAGATTCTGACTGATTTAAATTATCTGTGAACATGACCATGTATGAGAATATAAGACCATGCATAAGAATATAAGACCATGTATCAGAATAGAGGATCATGTATCAGAATATATGACCATGTATCAATATAAGACCATGTATCAGAACAGAGGATCATGTAAAAGAATATAAGACCATGTATCAGAATATAAGACCATATCAGAATATAAGACCATGTATCAGAATAGAAGATCAAGTACCAGAATATAAGACCATGTATCAGAATAGAGGATCATGTATCAGAATATAAGACCATGAATCAGAATATAAGACCATGTATCAGAATATAAGACCATGTATAAGAATAGAGGATCAAGTATCAGAATAGAGGATCAAGTACCAGAATATAAGACCATGTATCAGAATAGAGGACCATGTATCAGAATATAAGACCATGTATCAGAATATAAGACCATATATCAGAATATAAGACCATGTATCAGAATAGAGGATCAAGTACCAGAAAATAAGACCATGTATCAGAATAGAGGATCATGTATCAGACTATAGGACAATGTATCAGACTAGAGGACTGTGTTTCAGAACATAGGAGCATGTAATATAGAGAATAGTGAGCCAAGGAAACCCACAGAAAGGATGGCCATTTTTTTTTCTTGGTCCCATTGGCAGTCTGAAGTGCCGTGATCTGCCAGGTCAAAGAAATCGTCTTCCTGGAGCCACTCCTTCATCCAAGGACTGCATACTTATCCATGTAATCTTCATGTAACATCATTTACTTCACGTTAACTTCATTTACTTCATGTTAACTTCATTTACTTCATGTTAACATCATTTACTTCATGTTAACTTCATTAACTTCACTCTAACAATCCTCATCTGACCATGGGGCCATCTCCTGGGTTAGCCAGCTGTCCTCGACAGCATCATTGGCAGCCACTACAGCCACTACAGCCGTACAGTAGCGGACCAGTCATATCTCACCACTTCCATCTCAAGATCCATGAGCACTTAATGACAAAATGGCATCTCCCAGGCAGAAGTTGTTTATGACCGAACATGATATGAATGAAAGTCAACTGACAATTAAATTCAAAAGTAATTCATCCTCATTTCCGACATCAAAGGTTCACTGGCTTGCAGTGTTGAGATGAGAGCATATATATACTACAGGAGTTGCAAGCTAAGGACATGGGCTCACACAGTGTCTGCTCATGGTATTATATTGCTGTACTAATTACTTGCAATATATTCTGTACAATACAACTAGATGTCTCGATACTATATTGTGTACAAATAAATACATGAGGCATTTATGGCAAGAAATTAGAGAAGAAATATTTTACAAGCATATATTTTCAAGTAGCATGTCTATTTCCAAACATAGTACAAAAAATGAATCTATTCAGCATTTTATTCTGCTTAGTCCAAATTCATATAACACTTGCTGTAATTTATCGTGGGTTCCATGTGAAGATAACAAACACGAACTTTTATTTGTAAATTTGTCAAAGAACTGTCAGTAGCAGACAATACGGGGAGCAATTTAGATTTGCTACTTGCCATCCTTTTTTTTACTTACGATATTTACTTTGACATGTAC